CTCCGCTGTTCTCCCTGAAAACCACAGCGCCCACGTCTCGGGAGTCTCGGGTAACCGGGCACCACATGTGTGGCAATGTGTAACTCAAGGCAGGCCATTCTCCAGTGCCCGTCCCCCCGGCAGCCCTGCAGTCTCAGTACCCGGTGTGCAGTTACTTCCCCGTATCGACCCTCGGCGCCACTGCATCGTCATTCAGTTTGTTGCTCATGTCACTTCTATTTTCTAAGCCAGTGATTCTTGTTGATACTGGTTGTCTTGACATCATTGGGGGCTTCAGGTCCTGGTTCCCACCCTAAATTTACAAACAGTTCGTGCAGTCAGATGTCTGAAAACTTGATAAGCAAAAATGAGCCAGTTTGTATCACCATCTCTGGTTTCATACACCAAAATCACATAATGCCTAGATGGAAAAGTTAGGTTCACGTTTTTTGGTAGTTTTTAAAGCAAAAGAGGAGGAGCACGTGGAAAACCCATGTAGCCCATTGCTCAGCTTGCCCCTGACCTGGAACTTCCTATGTAGAAATGGGAGATCCTTTATAGAGAGTGGATCACACGCTAACAACTGGGAATTGGTTTTCTCTCTTGTTTAACTTGGTTGCTCTATGTAAACCCAAACCAGAACCACCAGCATTGAGCCAGTTCTGCTCACCGCTACCCAACGGGCCAGAGCAGACCTGCCCCGCCAGTTCCTGAGGCTGTAAATCTTGATAAAAGCACATTGCCATATCTTGCTTCCAGAGAACAACCAGGAGGGTTTGCCCTGCTAACCCTTTTGACTCGCTGGTGAGCACCTTAGCACTGCGCCACAAGGGCTCCTTTTCTCTGTATAGTGTGTCCGATTTGTTTTTATCCTACTGATGCAGTTTCCTGAATTGTCCTGGTTCTTTTCTTGTTTGAATAGAAAGGCCTATTGCACACCCGGTTCCCAGGATTGTTTCTGCTCAAGGTGTGCTGCTTCTTCACCACAGGCGAACCAGACACGGCTCCCTGCCACGTGGTTGGTTTCCACGTGGTGAGCAGAAGGGCCACTCTGCCTCTAGTTTTGTTTATTTGAAACCCAAGTGTGTTCCTATGTTTCCTGACCCAGGTAGCCTACAGGGTTACACGTTGGGCTGCTAACCACTAGGTCAGCAGTTCTAGCCCACTAGCCACTGCTTGGGAGAAAGAAGAGGCTTTCTATGCCTGGAAGGATTTAGTCTCCGGAACTCATCATAGGAGCAGTTCTGGCTCTGTGCTGTACGCTCGATAGGAGTCAGAGTTGACTCAGAAGCAGTGAATGACTCTGTACCATAGTTTATCAAATGGAAAATGATAACATCTTACAGGCTTTCTTGAGTGTAAACTGAGATAATATATGTGACAAACATTTTCTAAAGAATGTTTGAATGTTGGCCTTTTTTCTTCCCTATCTGTCTAGAAAGCAGAGATATCCTAGGTTGTAAATAGTCTTCTTTTGGTTTTGATTTTTTCAAAAACATTAACATTTTTTTAGATTTTTAGAACCTTTTCAGACCGGAAAATACTCCTAAAGATCAACAAACTGTTTATAGGTTTTTCTTTATTATGTCGTTATTGTTGTTTTGGTTTTTTCTTTTGTTTTGCTCCGCCTTGTTTTTGTGTTTTTTATTGTTTCTGCATGTCTATCTAGATAAGATAGGCGGAATAAAAAATCCAGAGGAGAAAACAGTGGGACCAAATGGGACTGAAGGTTCCAGGGGGACATGGGAGAGGGAGAGGTGGGGGAAAATAAGGAGGGTGTGAACAAACACAGAGGCAAAGGAACAACAAATGATCTAAAATCAGTGGCGAGGAGGGCATAGGATGCCTGGTGGGGCTTGATCAAGGTCAATGTAGCCAAGAGGAATTACTGAAACCCAAATAAAGGCCATACATGATAGTGGGACAAGAGAAACGTAAAAGGAAATAGAGGAAAGAAGTAGAAGGTAAAGGACATTTATAGAAGTCTAAATGTAGGCATATATATGTAAATATGTTTATATGATAGGAAAATAGATTTATATGCATATATTTATTTATATGTTAAGTATTTAGGTAGCTGATGAACACTGGGCCTCTACTCAAGTACTCCCTTAATGCAATAACACTTTGTTCTAATAACCTGGCATTCTGTGATGCTCACCTTCCTGACACGATCACTGAAGACAAAATGGGATGGGATCAGGTATCAGACATCAAAGATCCAGAACAAAAAGTCATATCATTGTGAATGAGGGGGAACACGGAGTGGAGACCCAAAGCCCATCTGTAAACAATTAGACATCCCCTTTCAGAAGGGTCACAAGGAAGAGACGAGCCAGTCAGGGTGCAGTACAGCACTAGGAAACATACAACTTTCCTCTAGTTCTTTAATGCTCCCCCACTATCATGATCCCAATTCTACCTTACAAATCCTGCTAGACCAGAGCATGTACACTGGTACAGATAAGAGCTCTACACACGGAATCCAGGACAGATAAACCCCTCAGGACCAATAATGAGAGTAGCAATACCAGGAGGGGAAGGGGAAGGTGGGAGGAGAAAGGGGGAACCGATCACAATGATCTACATATAACCCCCTCCCAAGGGGACAGACAACAGAAAAGTGGGTGAAGGGAGACAGCAGTCAAGTGTAAGACATGAAAAAAAATTAGTTAATTATCAAGGGCTCATGAAGGAGGGAGGAGGTGAGGGGGTAAAATGAGCTGATACCAAGGGCTCAAGTAGAAAGAAATGTTTTGAGAATGATGATGGCAACATATGTACAAATGTGGTTGACACAATGGATGTATTTATGGATTGTGATAAGAGTTGTATGAGCCCCCAATAAAATGGTTTTTTTTAAGTTAAATTATAGGACTTTTAAATCATCAAACATCACTAGATATAAAAAAACCATTGTTTTCTAAAATATTGATACAAATTTTTGACTTACTTCAGTCAGCATTTTATTTTTAGATTTTTTTAAAAAATGTCTGAATTCAGTCTAGAATTACCTTCATTTTTGTATTCTAACCCTTTTGCACATTTGATACATCAAATTCTAATTTTCCCTTCTGAACTATTATTTGCTTGTGGTGTTTGTTGTGGTACTTGGAGAAGCACAGTGTAGAGGAGGAGCCTGGGGGTTCTGTGGTGCAAACTCATCAAAATATCAGCGGTCGGACTCCACCAGCGGCTGCGTGGGAGAAAGATTGGCAGCCTGCTTCCCTGAAGATCTGCAGCGGTGGACACCCACCCTCTGGGGCCAATCTGCTCTGTCCTGCAGTGTCCGTCTGAGTCAGCATCAACTCGATGGCACCCAAACGCAGCAAATAGAGAGATGCATGTTTTCTGAGTGGTTATTTTTCCCCCCCAAAACTAGTACTCTGTTGTTACATGTCATCATATACAGTTCACTTTAGATGCATGTGTGTTATTGCTTTAATATATCTTTTAAGATAGCCTAGATATCTTTTGATGTATATGAGTTAAAATTATAACCGTTCATTTCCCCATGGTTTTAAATTTTTGGTTTGTTTTATTCATTGATTGGGTTTTAGTTTTCTTGTGGCGATAGTTAATTTACACCAGTAGAGGGAGCTTCAACCCATTCCTCTTGGTGAACATAGCTTTCAATGTGGAAGAAACATACTTCAATAACACATGGTGATGCAATTATTTTGAGTCCAGCTATTGCAGTGATGAAGCACTTAGCTATTAACTGAAAGGCTGGTAATTTAAACCCAGGGGACGCCCTGCAGGAGACACGGTGTGGCACTCTGCTCCTTTACAGATTCCAGCCTGGGAATGGTGGGGCAGGCCTACTCTGTCGTATATGGTTGGAATCAACTTGATGGCATCAGGTTTGTTTGTTTAATGGGTGGCGATTTTAAGTATTAAAGAACAAAAGCAGTCTCACTGTGATTCCCATACTTTCTAATTACCCTCTAATATAGCTGCCTAAACAAAACCTCATCTGCATAATACCCATGTAAATGGTCCCTCAAAGCCCCTGAAGTTTTAAAAACCCACAAGCTATCTCTTGGCAGCTGAAGAGGCAGTGGTGGGGCCATTGTTTGACGTTAAGTTGCTGTTACTGTGTGCCATCGAGTCGATCTCCGAGCTCCCGATGGGGTAGTTCAGAATAGAACTGCCCTGTGGGTTTTCTAGGCTATAAATCCAACCCCCACTCCGCCAAGGTAAAGGAGAGGTTTTTTTTTAAGGGTTTAAAGAATGATTTGATTTGGGAACCTCATGATCCATCAAAAGGAACCATATAGTCCAAGGCACAAGAATAATATCAACAGTCGCCTCCTGTATGGGACAAGAACAGGGCTTGTGCTAGGGGAGTTCCAGGTCCGCTTTCTCAGAGTGGGGCTGTCGGTGTTAGGGCTGTCGGTCCTCCATGTGACAGCTGAGGCTGCAGACACTTGACAAGACAGTGCCAGGACAGGGCTTGTGCCACAGTCAGGTAACAAACAGGCTTGCTAGGCTTTTGTTGTTGTCTGTTTGTAACTTTTAGAAAGTTGGGTAAAGATTTACAGAGAAGATCAATTTTCCATTCAACAATTTGGACAGATTTTGTTTCATCTCATTGATTGCAATTAGGCTATAAATCTTTATGGAAACAGATTGGTGCAGCTTTCTCCCACAAAGCTGCTGGCTGGGTTTGAACTGCTGACCTTCCAGGTAGCAGCTGAGCACTTACCCACTCATCTAATAATAAATAAATGGTAGGAATCATAGAGGCACACTGGTGAAGTGTGTCCTAAAGGAAAGGACCCGGCTGTCTTTTAGCACCTCTGTTCTGACCTGTCAGGCCTGCCAGTCCGCACGGATCCTAAGACGCACAACCACAGCCGTCAGAATAGCAGGATCACACTAAGGTGGATTCCTGACGCATTTAGCATTCAAGGAACAAAAGAGGGCTTATTTTGCTTAGAACTTCTCTGCATGAAGAAATCTAGAACGGTGCTCACGTTTGGAGGGTTGGCTCTAAATTATTGTTGGTTTCTTTATAGACCCCAGAAGAAAGTATCATGTGAGGCTGCTGGCTTATGACAACATAGAAGATGGCTACCAGGCTGATCAAACCGTTAGCACACCAGGATGCGTGTGTAAGTAACAGTAGTTCTTTTCACTGGGGCTCAGACTTCTTTTTCTCCTCCTTCTCTGTCTCAGTACCATTTGGAAACCTGGGTGGTTGTGTTCCTTTGAATCCTGTAGCCCCTAGGTGCTCAATAGCTATTACGCATTGCATTTCAAGAACCGATTGTAGTTTTCCATGCGAAAGCTTGGTAGAAATTTAACTTGGAAACACAGTTGCTGAATTACCCTTATCTTCAGTTTTTAACATCTACTGTAACCTTGAGGCTAATTGTTTTTCTTGAATTGCCATTCTATTTTGCTTCTGTAAGAGATGCTAAAGAGGATGCTGTTCCTGCCCATTGGTGGCTTTCTGCATGTGCATAGCGAGTAACTTCTCTGTGCCTCTGTTGCCCAATCTGTTAAGTGTTGATAATATTTTATCCCGTATCTGACCCAAGGAAGAGTTGTTTAGGCTTGAATAATAATGTGTCCTTGGACCACTAGAAACTTTTGATGAATAAAAGATCTAAGCTTAACTTACAGGGTGGGATATGATTATTTTACTACTTTGTACACCAAACAGTGCTTTGTGCAGCAACTTAACGCTGTCTTTTTTAATAGCTGTTCGTGATCGCATGGTCCCTCCTCCACCACCACCCCACCATCTCTATGCGAAGGCTAACTCCTCTTCCTCCATCTTCCTGCACTGGAGGAGGCCCGCATTCACCACTGCGCAAATAATTAACTACACCATCCGCTGCAACCCTGTTGGCCTGCAGAACGCTTCTCTGGTTCTTTACCTTCAAACGTACGTAGCCTCTATTCCTGGTTGTTTTCTCTGCTTACCTCCCTATTCACGTGCATTTCCTCTTACCGTGTAAACTCTGGGGCTTCCCCTGTAAGCATGTTCCAGGACTTACCTTACTGATAAAATAGCTGAGGATTTCTCATCCAAGCCATCTTCAGTCCTGAAAATGGCAGCGGGGACATTAGTTTAAATGAGTTTTTATTTGCCCAGCCACAGACAAGAAGATAAGAGAAAAGGCTATTATTGTTTTCAATCGACGAAACCTACCGTGTTAAAAAAAGAGCAACAAGCGAGAGACCGCTTTCATGTTAGTGTCAAAAAGTAATGCTAGTCCTCATTCTCTTTTGTATGTTGTAAGAAGATGCCCGCCATTTTTTATTTTTTTAAAATCATTTGACTTCCAGTGTTGACTTTTTGGGTGGAAAGGTTATTGGAACATGTCTATACATCTACTTCTTACATTCTACTACCTCATTATCTGGACTTTACAATAACAGTAAAAAATCGTATCCGACTGTTTTTCGTATTAATAATGTAAATCTGGCAGTAATGAATGCCAAGGTGCAAGATACAAACTAACACTGACCCATGGTGGTTAATGTTTATGTGTTCATTTTATAATGATGTAATTTGGGAGTTAGGTTATGAGTGATCATCCTCCATTTCCGTGTAATGTCAAAATTCATGCTGATAAGTGAGGAGTGAGTATATTGTTGATTTTTTGGTCTCACACGAGGGTTTATTTAAGTGATATTTACATTCTGACATCGACAGAACGTCAGGACATTTCAGCAGCAGCACTGAATGCAAAAGAGAATACGCACGTCTGGTTGGGGCTGATTTTGATCCATCTCTCGCCTATCTTCTTCTCCCTATGCTTTGATTTTACTAAAAAGAACTTACTGAGAGTACATTTTCTGTGCATATGTAGAAAGTCAATCCATTACTGAGTATTTTCATAGGAGCTCTTTATTCCTTTTTTTGGTCTTTCAGTCTGGGGCAAATTAAGTGATACAGAAATGTAAATGTCCAACAGCATGCATCTTTTTTAAGTTATGTATGTTATCTATATTGTTAATTTCTTAGAAATCTAGAGGAAAATATGAGTATGGTGTTTAATAGTCCAATTAGATTGCTTTTGTAGCCTAAACAACTTTTTATAAGGAAAATAAGCAGTTAATGAATAATGATAGTGTGCCCTATCTATCATTAATGGTTGTTTGAAAATCTTTTGGAAACAAGGTGCTCCTAGCATTAACGGCTTCATTAATCTTCACTGTAGATCAGAAACACACATGTTGGTTCAAGGTCTAGAACCAAATACCAAATATGAGTTTGCTGTTCGACTGCATGTGGACCAGCTCTCCAGCCCCTGGAGCCCTGTAGTCTACCATTCTACACTTCCGGAAGGTAATGACAGTGGCTTCCCCATCTGGGTGTTACTGCCCAAAAAGGAAAAAACAAAAATTTAAATGTTAAGATATATATATATGTGTGTGTCATTTTGGTTGGTGCTACTATCAGTTGATGGGTATGTTTTTATGGTTTGGGGTGTTGTTTTTATTCTTAATTTTAAAAATGTGGTTTTTCCTTATTATCTCCTTAAGGATTGTTTCTCCTCAGTGTATAGGTTGCTTCCAGAATTGGGCTTCAATTTTTTTATGCCCCTTTTCATAGTACGTAATCCCTTCGAGAACTGGTGCCAAAAACCAACTCATCACATTTTTTATTCATATTAAGCATACAAGCGTATTAAAATTCCAAGACCACACATACCATCACATATATACATTACTAGTCCTAAAGCTGCCCTGTAAACTACTGATTCACAACTTTCAAGGGACTAACTGAACGGTTTCCTCTTAGATGCATCTTCGTCAGTGACTCCCTCGTTCAGGTAAAATTAACAGTGTGCACATTTCATGAGAAGTACCATGTAGACTCAGGACCTAATGGGGCAGGATTCGGGATCTACTGGGCCCATGCTACTATTGGAACTGGAACTCTTTCCAGTAAGTAATTTGGCTAAGAGTATCAAGAGCTCGAAAAATGGCTTCTTAAACCTGACCCGGTAACACCCCATTTAGAAGTCTATCTTTTTTGTTTTTGTTTTAATTAATATTCTAAAATGATTAAACTGACATTGGCTTTCAGGAAAAATTGGCGCTTTGTAATTTATCAATTAATGATCTGCAAAAACCGTGGTTTTGAGCTTCGATAGTGGTTGCTAATTTTCCCGCACCCTTTTCTAAGCCTTACAAGATAGGTACTGTGAGTGTTCGTGAACTGCTGTCTGCTGGCAATACGGTGTGTTTTATGTGTGTTCACAGCGCCAGCAGGCCCACCGGTTGGAGTAAAAGTGACATTGATAGAGGATGACACTGCCCTGGTTTCTTGGAAACCCCCCGATGGCCCAGCAACGGTGGTGACGCGCTACACCATCTTGTACGCATCCAGGAAGGCCTGGATTGCGGGCGAGTGGCAGGTCCTACATCGAGAAGGTAAATAGGATCCTAAATGACCAAGGAGGGTAAAAATTAAGGTCTTCAGTCATTAAAGAAACAAGGGGAACAAGGGACCTGGAGTGTGTTTTGAATCCCCATCTTTATTTGTGACTTAACAGATTACTGAGGACTCTGGTTTCATTCACAGAGCAGTAAGAAGCCATTGGCATATGTTCAGCATATGATTGATTTATGCCTCAGAAAAATTATCCTGACTGTTGTGAACAAAAGAGGTTTGGTTGGGAGGAGGGAGGGCTGGTGTCCTGCACCGGGACTGTTGTAGACCTAGTTAGGGCACAGTTGTAGTGGGTCCAGGAGAGAGAGGAGGAGCCTGGGTTAGGATGGGGAGGCCTGGGCAGCAGATGAGAGGCTGGTTGGAAGATAGCACTGTGGTAAAACCAGTTAAGACTAGATAGAGAAAAACATGAAAAAAATGTTTGAAAGACTGGTAGAGAGGAACGGAGGAGGGGAAGAAGGGAAGGGAAGTCCTTACGGATGAGTGACTGGGTTTCTGGTGGTGGTGTGCCTGGAACTAGGTTTCAGGGAGAAGACCTCAGTACGATTATAAAAATGTTCTACATGCAAATAGACCTGTAGGAATATTAGGACCTACTTAAGTGAAGGGGAATGTTGATGAGGGTCTGAAAACACTGATTTTTTTTTCAGCTGAGAAAAACTGAATTATAAAAAGCAACCTTCTTTTTACATGCATGCGTGCATTATATTTTTTTGAAAGTCATCTTTTAAAATATTCAACCCTGTCATATACACACAAACATTCAGTGGCTTCAAGAAGTTCATGGATAAATGCAATTGAAAGATAATGGATTTTTCCATGAACTTTTTAAAACCACCTTGTCTGTGTGAGTATGTGTCTATGTGTGTATATTTATGTGTATGTGTATGAATATAAGCATATGAGACAGTATATAATGTATGTGATAAGCTATCTAAATATTGGCATACGGGGCTTACCCAAGTTGGACAAGTAGTGCTGTGGGTAAGGCATTGGGCTGCTAGCTAGAAGTTTGGTAGTTCAAACCCACCAGCCCTCCGTAAGAGGAAGACGAGCCTGTCTGCACCTAGTTTCACTAACCCTATGTGTGGCTGCTGTGACTTATAATCAATTAGATGGCAGTAGGTCTTTTGGTTTATTATAAAAAAGAGTGAAAATTCATTATATGGGGAATTTAAAAATTCAGATATGCACTCTGGAAAAATAATAGCTTGCAAAGCATTTAGAAGCTGAATACCATCCAAAACTTGGTACTTCCACACTTTTTACCTCTCAAGAGGAATAATTTACCCAATTATAATAAGTTTAAAAACATTTATGTGGATGTATTTGCTAAGCCCTTTATGCAGTTATAAACGAAACTAATGGTAACTTCAACTGGAACTTTGATAGTTATCTAGTCATATTTTTCATTAAGCATCTTCCCTACTAAGTAGTGATTTTCTGGTCACTGAGGAGACTTGAAAGTAGTAAATACTTGGCAGCAGTATGACTTTATATTTGCATCAAGTATTTATTGCTATGTGACACACTGCTCTGAAACTTAAAACAGCTGTTTCGTTTTCTCGCAATTCTGAGTCAGCAGTTTGAACGGGCACCAGCTGGACAGGTCCTCTGTTGGCCTCTCCTGAGGTCACTCAGGTGGCTGCATCCAACTCCTGGTTGTGACCAGGTCTCGGTGGTCTACCAGGAAGAGAGGAGAGAGTGGAAACCCCACTGTGCAAGGCTATACAAGCCTTTTCTTGTCCCTGGGGCAAAGCAAGTCACCGGCATGTCCAGGGTCAGTGTGAGAGAGGACCTCACAGAATGGGTGGCTGGAGGAACAATTAGTGTTACAATCGGACACAGTGTTCTTAAAATATATAATTCAACTTTATTCCTCAATTCCAAAATTATTGATTGAGCATAGTTTTTGACCCCAAACTGACACGAGGTATTGTTAAAAGTATTAATTAAAACATTTGGTCACATGAGCAGGTACTTCTTTTAGTTGCTCATTTATACCTGCCTAAAAATAGTGATTTGCTTTGTTTCCTTTTAATGCATTCATTATCAGTTTCAAGCATTGCTTGAAAAACATCATTTTGCCTCACTAATCGCCTCATAGTGAAACGGATTGCAGTGGCCGGCTTTTACCTCATTACGAGCCTTTCTAAATACACAATAGTGCACAGGCGGGGATAACTCTTATTTTTGCCATTTGCTGCTTGGTGTGATTCTAGGAAACATTCTCAGTGAGAAAAGCTTTAGTCTAAGAAGCAGAACCTTTTTCATAGTTAATTCCAGTAATTCACGAAGAACAAAATAAACAATCCAACTAAAATGCAGTTGAGATTGCTTTTTTTAAAAATTGGGAGACAAATATAAGGAGCTAGACTCACCGTACTCAAAAACAAGGACTATAATACGAGACCCAAAGAAAAAGAGAATGTGAAATAGTCTGTAATGTGTCATTTAGCTACATTTAGAAATGTTATGGTGAAAAATATATATAAAGGGAAAGGTAGAAGGGGAATTTTAGCATCTGTTTCCCATATATATTTGTTAACTACACATATGTATGTTTATACACATTTACATATATGATTTACATACTTAATATAAAGTAAGACAGTTATTTTTCATGAGTAAAACCATTTTAAAAAATAATCCTGTTGAGTACATGTTATTTGTGGCTAACGTGGTACCTGATAAAATGGTTGAATTGAAATGTGATGTGAAATTATGCTTGTGTGGAATTTGAAGCAGATCAGAAATTGCAGCCTTTCCCTTCCCAGATAATCCACACACGCTACTCAGTTATTGCAAAATCTAAAAGGCAGTGGAGGGAATTGTGCTTTACTACAGTAGTTCCTGAACTCTGTTCCCATATCATGAGTTTCCTAAGATGATCAAGATGTTCCTCCTTAAAAAACAAAAGAAAAAAAAACACCCCATGATTAAATATGTTTTGAGAAGTACCATATACCCGCTTCCCTTTACAGAGGCCTATTGAAAATTAAAGTTGTGCAGTAAAGAGTCTATTTAGCTCAGCATTTTCCAGGTGAATTAGACAACCAGTCCTAGGGATAAATTAATTTATTAAACAAAGTCACACTGGGCACTATGGTGCCCTGCTCTATTCTTGGCACTGGGGGAATCCATAGCGAATAAAACAAAGCCCCCCCGCCCCAAAAAAAAACAAACACAAAGTCCCCACCTTACAGTCCAGGTAAGAAGCAAACAAATACAGAGTTTCAGGTAGTGCCACACTTACTATCAAGAAAGCTCTTAACAGAGAAAAGAGGCGAAGTGATATAGAGGTAGGTAGTAAGGTCAGTGCTCTTGAAAAACTAACGTTTGAGCAAAATCATATGGATATCTGGAGGAAGCGCCAAGGCCTTTTGAAAGGCCTAAGTGTGCTCGGTATATTGGAGAAAATCGAGTCCACCAGGCTTTAGAGAGGAGATAGTGCACAATAAGAAAGCATGTTAGTGAGGGTAGCCAAGAGCCAGACCTTGTAGCTCAAACTATAGCGTTTATTGTAAGAGAGAAAATATTGGCTGGTTTACTTGGCCAGTCTCCTGACAAGTGTTTATAAAGGGCTCAGAGTCGTGGCTGGGAGACAGTTATCTGTGTAGGAGTTGATGGGGTTTGGACAGGTGGGAAAGGGGAGACTAATAGGAAGTCCTTGCAGCATAACTTGAAAGATCAACTAGATTGATCTGGGTCATAAGAAAAAAAAAGAAATGAGCCAACGATGAATTCAAAACCTAACTGAAACAAACTCACTGCCGTTGAATCAAAGCCGACTCAATAGCCACCCTTTAGGACAGGGCAGAACTCCTCCTGCAAGTGCCAAGATTGTAACTCTATGGGAGTAGAAACCCCTGTCTTTTGCCCACAGAGCGGCTGGTGGTTTCAAACTGCTGCCCTTTCAGATCGCAGCCAACATGTAACCCCTACACCAGCAGGGCTCCTGTGTAATGATTCCACTAGTGGCTAAGTGGCCATGCCACGCATGTGCTGTCGTCAGGAACATGAAAGAAGCGTGGTCGGTGGACCTGAAGAGTTTGGTGTTCAACATGTTGGGTAGAGAGACTGAGGTAGGCGGTGAGAGACTAAGTCTCGGTTTCGTGGGACAAGAGGTAAAACTTAGAAAGAATCAGCATGTAGATGGTACTGAAGACTGTAGAACTCGAAATGACCACTTGAAGGGTTGAAGAGAGAAAAAGTCGGAGCGGGCATCCTGGGCACTTCTTCAGTCCGGAAGCCTTAGTCTGTTTCCATATTTTAAACGAACACTCCTTGGGTCACAAACAGCCCGCATTTTACTTCCCTTGCATACTAAGCATTATCTTGTACCAAGTATTATACTAGCCAACTTGGGCTGCTTAAGTATGAGGGGGGAGGGACTGAGCGCTAGAAAGAAGAGGAAGGAGTCAGAGTGAGAAAGAAGGCAGAGGTTTATTGAGACTGTACACTCGTGTCAGACTCTTGCTAGTGGTAGTTGATGTAGTCCTTACAATAATTACATGAGGTGAGAATTACTGCCCCCACGAGTAAAGTTGCCCCGGCCACAAGTTACTTGGTAGGATGCCAGGATGTGGTCAACATAGATCCCACCCTGAGCCCCTTCCACTCTCTTGCCTGTGAAACCCCTTGTCGAGCTAATGTTCAGACACACATAACAGTCCCCCTCCTTCTGAGACCCTCGGATCATCAGAGCTGTCGGGCCCTTCAGTGTTTGGGAAGTGTTTGGAGAGTGTTCGTAGGGGATGACAGGGTTAAAAACGGCCTTCTTTTCCTGAATGAAATTCTTCTTTCGGGAGGGCCTAGGTTGGGGGCATAAGCACTCATCCTGGCCATCTACTTAACATAGTTCAATTAAATGGTAGCATTTAATTTCAGTCCAGTGACTCCTCCCGCCCCCTCCTGGCCCAAGTTCTTTTGAAATAAGTAAAAAGCGTTCCACGAAGAAATGGAAACTCAATTTATTTATGAAGCTCTGTGAAGAAATAGTAATGTTCTCCCTACCCCTTAATGTGAACATGTCACACTACACCTTTAGTGCTTCTTTCTTTTTTAATTGTCTTCCTGTGAACGGGCTGACCGTGGAAGGACTCTTTCGGATTCTAAATAGGGCTCTGTTTGTTTGTTTAACAGTTGTGGGCTCAGGTAGCTCACACTCTCTCTTGGCCAAGTTGAAATCAGAGAACATGGAAACGGGCCGTGGTGTTTGCCTCCTTGCATTGCCCCTGCCTCTCATGCCACGTGGCCTGAACCGTGACCTCAGCTCTCAAATCACCCCACCTTTCACTTACATAATGCACATAGGGTGGCCAGCTCTGGCCTGTAGGGGACCGCTCCAGCTGTCGGCGAGTTCTTAAGCTTTGTCAGATGCCCTGAGTGAGGAAAAGTCGGGAAAAGCTGTGAAATCCCCTGGAAAGACTCGGTTTTCCTCCCAACACCTACTCACAAAGTGCCCTAGCGGCAACAAGGTCTGGGTTTCGACTACCCCGGCTTTCTTGACAGTGGGATTAACTCTTAGGACGCGAGGCCCTCCTGCACGAAAAACACTTCATTGCAGTGGCAGAGCAAGAACAGAAAGATCCCAAACTTGGAGTCCTTCGTAGGAGTGATACCAGGAGCTAATGCCTTCAGACACCTTTGGGCGGTGCGGAGGTTAGCTGCTTGCTGGGTCTGCTCCTGACTCCGGGGGACCCCTTTGTGATCCCTGTAGGATCTTCATTGGCTGAGTTTTCAGAGAAGGTGGCCAGGCCTTTCTGCCTAGCCTACCTTAGCGTGGAAGTTCTGCCGAAACCTGGTCAGCATCATGTCGGGGCATGCCGTTGAGTTGTCAGTTCTGACTCAGAGCAACTCTATGGCAACAGAGCGAACCCCTGCCCGGTCCTGCACCATCCTCACAGGTGCTCTTCCATCTGAGCCTGTTGTTGCAGCCACTGTGTCAGTCCATCTTGTCAAAGACAGCCCTCTTTTTGGCTACTCTTCCACTTTACCAAACATGATGTCCTTCTCCAGGGACTAGCCTCTCCTGACAACCTGTCCAAAGTATGGGAGATGAAGTCTCACCATCTTTGCCTCCAGGGAGCCTTCTGGCTGCACTTTGTCCAAGACAGATTCGTTTGTTCTCTTGGCAGGCCATGGACCTTTGAATTCCTTGCCAGCACCGTAATTCAAACATATGGGTTTTTCTTGGGTCTTTATTCAGTGTCCCACTTTGCCACTTATATGAGGTGATGAAAAATACCACAGACAGATGAAGGCTGGGCATTGGCCAGAAATCAGACCCAAGTCTCCAGCGTGGAAGGGAGAAAGATTCTATCACTGAGCATCAACTACCTGATCAGATGGATTTGCACGCAATATATCATATATTGATATTAACCCACATGCAAATGGTGATCACTTCCAAAGAGTAGTGGACGCTACCCAGATTTCTGGTGGCAGCTTTGACAGCTCATCTGAGATCTGTGTTATGTTATAACTTCCATAATACAGTGTTGTTTAATATACTTTACAGCCATGCTTATATGAAGGTGTGTGTATGTGTATGTATGTAGGTATGTACAAGCTTAAAGAAAAAATATCTGCTTTAAAAAAACACCTAAAGAACAAAATTACAGAAAGGACTCCTATCAGGAAAGGGACATGGTATTGTGTTGAGTGAAAATTCTAGGATAGAAAACTTAAGTGGTAGATATGTATGCATAGGAAATATAGCAACATGTTAACAATGGGAAATTTTCACTGTATTTATAGTTGTCTTCACTTTTCAAATATTCTACAATGAACTTCTATCATTTTTATAATCAGGAAAATGTTTTTTAAATGAAGGACCCTGTTGAATAAAGGTAAAAGTCTCCTTCCTCTGTAATGGATGTGTTTATAGGGGCAATAACCATGGCTTTGCTAGAGAATCTGGTGGCAGGAAATGTGTATATCGTCAAGATCTCTGCGTCCAATGAGGTGGGAGAAGGACCCTTTTCAAATTCCGTGGAGCTGGCTGTTCTTCCAAAGGAGACTTCTGAAGCCAATCAGAGGCCCAAGCGTCTAGACTCTGCTGATGCCAAAGGTCTGTATGTTGCCATAGTCACTGTGGTTTTTTCTAAAGATAAAATAAGTGCATATATTCTTTCCAGCTCCCTTACATTTTATTTCAACTCCTACAGTTGCACTATCCCTAAACCTGCACTCGGTTCCCTTACTTGGTACTTGTAAGGTTCTGGTGTCATGGGGCTACATGACTGTACTCTTAGAGCAGCGATTCTCAACCTGTGGGTTGCGAACCCATTGAGGGCCAAACTACCTTTTCACAGGGGTTGCCTAAGACCATCGAAAAACACGTATTTCCAGTGGTCTTAGGAACCAAACACCGCTCCTCTGTCTGTCTCCAGGCAGGTCCACCCACACGCAGATATGCCCACAACAGTACCCATCGTGAAGACTGTGTGTGTGTGTGTGTGTGTAAAACTGAGTGTGTACACACAAGTGTGTCTAAGGAGGTAGCCATGGTAGCTACCGTATGGCCAAGAGAAAAGCTTGTATTCCGTTCTGAGATACCTGGCTATTATTCAAACGGTCTAGGGACCAGCAGAATGAATGCCACCTGAGACCTTGATGGATGCCCCAGACCTAGTGAATCAGGACCTGCATTTTAGCAAGATCCCTGGGTGATGTGTGTGCACATTAACGTTTGAGAAGTACTGCTCTGTTTTACATAAACTGAAAACGAATCTTCAACATACTGATCTGCCTTCAAGGAAGGAAATGCAACATGTAAGCTACTGTTGAATTCATCAAGGAACATTTATGCCTTGTGCCTTTAGCATTTATAAATTATGAATTCATGATCATGTTTGATAGGAGAACAGCGTGTCTAAAACTCAGAGTGTCTTCAGTATTGGAAGATAAACCAGCCTCTGAGAGCAATGATAAAAGAGCACTGTGTGTCTTTTCTGCCTAGACAGAGATGATGTTAGAACTTTTTCTGTGAGATGAAGAAATATGATAGAAAGGCCCATATTTATCTGATATTGTGATCAGGGCAATTGTTTGTTTTCCTGATTGATTCTGATCAATGTGTTTCCTATTTAGCTTACGCAGGTTATTACCATCTGGACCAGAAATCCATGACGGGCATTGCTGTAGGCGTGGGCATAGCCCTGACCTGCATCCTCATCTGTGTGCTCATCCTGATATACAGAAGCAAAGCCAGGTGTGTTTTGTTTCCTGGAGATGTTGACTTGGTTACAAACATTTAAAATCAGCCTCAGGAACCACATGGAAATCCAGGTGCCCTTTAGAGTTAGGGAGACACCCCCCTCCCCATCCATCCCTCCTCAACCCCCTCCCCCAACGGCTTTAAAATAAAAAACATTGTTACTAGAATTTTTACAACTCTAAAGATGGCTCACTTTCGAAGGGAGATTATTTTCATGCGATTTGTAAACTATTACTGTGTCAAGGAAATATTTTTAAGTACAGACCTCATTCTCTTAGAAGCACAAATTATATCCTCGGGTTTAAACCGTGAAACCTGACACCTTTGATCTGTGGCACCTGCTTATTGAGAGAGACAGCATCTGGGACATGTTCACCCTTGGGTGGCATTCCTGGCAGGGCCTGAAGAAGCACCGGTGGCACTTTGGGTTAAGGGGCGGCCGCCCACTGAAGGCCAGCACGAGGACCGGACTGTCTGTTCCGTGGCAAAGTGAGGATGCTGTGAGCTCCCTCGAGGTTTACTCTCTCTAATCCAGTGAAAGAAAACAGCCAAACTCCCAGCCTTCCAGTCGATCCGACTCAGGACGACCCTACAGGACAGGGTAGAACTGCCCTTGTGCATATTTTTTTAATGTAAATTTTATGTTAAAAACAACACCTAACTCGCAGGATATTTGGGAAAATAATGTAACGAGTCACCATATCTCAAATCCAGCTTCAAGAATTTAAAAGTGCACCATCTATCTTTTTTTTTATGATATGTCTTTTTAAGAAAGATATGTTCTTGCTAAATTAATTTTTAAAGTTCAGATTTTATATCATTTCCCCTAGCATCCACAGATGTATCTCCAAATAATATTATTGGTTTTTTTCAATCATTTTATTAGGGGCTCATACAACTCTTATCACAATCCATACACACATCAGTTGTGTAAAGCGCATTTGTACATTCATTGCCCTCATCTTTCTCAAAACATTTCCTCTCCAATTAAGCCCCCGGCATTAGGTCCTCATTTTCCCCTCCCTCCCCATTCCCCCTTCCCTCATGAGCCCTTGATAGTTTATAAATTATTATTTTGTCATATCTTGCCCTGTTCTACGTCTCCCTTCACCCACTTTTCTGTTGTCCGTCCCCCAGGGAGGAGGTCACATATAGTTCCTTTCTAACCTTTTTTAAATTTCAACTTTCATTGCACTTATTTCCACAAGGTTTCTTTTTGACATTAAAAAAAAATCCAAGTTAAGCACCCATTAATTTTAAGTAATTCCCATCATGAGTCTCCCTTAATTAGCGTAGAGTACTAAGAGTTTGTAAGCATTTGGTATGTGTACATAGAAACATACTTGGGAAACATTAATGAGTGAGGTGGTTCTAACATCTTTCTGTATATATTCCAATGGTCTGATTTTTACTGTCCAAGTGTCTCACTGTAAGAATTTTTATGAGCACTTCATGCACAGTGTCTATCCCACCCACCCACTCCACCATGCTGTCCATTGTACCACATAGGGCATCCTGTGGGTTTTCCGAGGCTGTAAATCTTGTTCAGAAGCTGAGAGCATCATTGGCTCCTATGGAGAAAGTTGGCTGGTGGATTTGAACCAGAGACATTGAGGTTAGCTGTTGAAAGTTTACCCAGCATCACCACCAGGGTTCCTTGCAAATCGTTTAAGTGATTCCCAAATCTTGCTGAGAAGGAAAATCTCTCTGAATCATATTGGTCCAAGGCCATTGTGCTTGGGGTTGCTGTGAGTTGAAGGTCAGCTCCATAACAACGGAAGACAACAGATCTGGCAGAAGTGAGCCTGTATAAAGTCACCTTCTTTCACTGGCAAGTAAACGGTTCTGTTCACGTGAAAGTATGCAGAACAAATGGGGAAATTGTAGGTGAAAAACCCTGATTTCTGCACAAATTATAAGTAACCGTGATTAATAATAGTACGGTATAAGCTGTTGAAGTTTGGGTAAATGATTATAAAAATTAATTTTACACAGCAGAAATTGAAGCCCCAAATAAGGATGCTTCCTCAGTGTCTAGAGATGTCAGGAAATAGGCACTAAAGAACCCCCTGTTTACAATGTCTTGTAGGCCACATCTGGTACAATTGCCTGTATCATCAGTGAATTAAGATTTCCTTTGGGGGGGGCAACATTTCAGGAAATCATCTGCTTCGAAGACAGCACAGAGTGGCACTCAGCAGTTGTCTCGGACCAGCACGGCCTTGGCCAGTGGGAGTGAAGTGGTGAAGTGCCTGGAGGGGGCTGTGGAAAATGAAGAGCCCTTAATGCCAGTGACCATGCCCGGCACCTTCATCGACGCAAAGGTACTCCGAGCCGAGCGGCCGATGGGCCGCGCAGCCACTCCCTGCACTGGTCTTCCTGTACCTGTCGAGCTGACTTAGAGAACTAAACGCTGTTGGAGATACTGTAGTTAGACTCCTTGTAAAGGAAAAAACAATTTCATATAGACCCTTCTTGACAAAAAGTACATGGGGAGAAGAAGATGGGCATAGATAAAGGACAGAAGGGTAGAGAATAAGGAAGTTAAAAATGAGGAGGAAAAAAATAAGAATGAGAAGGTAGCACAGATTTTAAAAGATGGGATTCTGTGGTACTACAGGGTCTTAACTTTTTTAACACTGTTGCCATTGGTCGCTATTACTGTCATTTGAACTGGCCGGTATTTACTGGACGAACAGTTTTGTGTTTTATTTTTTATTAATCCACGTCACACAAAGTTCGGTCGATTTGGAACTGAATTTACCATCAGAACAGCGTGGGTGTGAATGCTGTTTAAAGAAATAAAACTCACTGCCATCCAGTCTTTCGCAGCTCACAGTGACCCTGTAGTGGGCTTCCAAGTGTGTAAATCTTTTCAGGGGCAGAGCACCTTGTCATTCTCCCAAAGTGTGCCCTGTAGGGTCGAACTGCCAAACTTGAGGTTCGCAGCACAAATAAATACCTCAGAAGTCTTCCCTTTCTGATCCGAGGAAGTTGGATGCGGTGGAGAGTATCCCAGGAGGATCTGGCCCCGTGTTCTTCCCAGAACATGTGATTACAGCAGAGTGGTGGCGTTGTGAGCACCAATGTAGTGTTATTTTTACTCCATAACATTAGAGGCGCATTATTATATAGCTTTCAAACTCTTTTTCCTCCAAAGCAAATCAAGAAGCTACAATAATAATTTTTATACCTACAGCAGTTCTAATAAAGGGTTGTATTGGGGAAAAGGTAGAGAGTCTATCTTCGAGAAAACAAGGTTCATGTGATATAAATCAGGTACTCTCAAACTACCCCTGGCCAGCCCACTGTCTGTTTTCATATGGTCACCTCCCTCGATTAAGAATGGTTTTTACATTTGAAAAGAACCCCCCCACCCCCAAAAAAGAAGAAAATGTGACAGACACAATACAATATGTGGTCTGCAAAAAAAAATTTTTTTTTCTATTTGGCCCTTTAAAACCAGGAACCCTGATAGGGCGAAGGACTTGATTGCTCACCAAGAGGTCATGCTCAGGAGAAAGCTGGCAGTCTGCTACCGTAAAGACTTATTTCCTACACCCTTGGGAACCTTAGAAGACTGTCTTACTCTGTGTTGCATAGTTGTTTAGATTTTTTTGAGTCAGAATAAACTTAGACAACAGGTTGGCCCTTAACAGAAAAAAAATTGCTATATTCTATTATAAATGATCATTCCCACCTCTTCTCTAAAATTCAGAATGATAAAAATGTAACAAAATATCAGGAAGCTAGTTAATAATTTTCATCCAGTTATATTTCATAGATATACTCAACTTGTATGTAGTACAGTGTGTTTTATAGGTAAATAATTGGTTTTTGCAACTCCCGTGTTTTTTCATTTTTAATTTTTTGTAATTTAGCTTTTTCCTCTAATCCACATTCAGTTATTCAACTAATGACAAACCACTCTAAAACATAAGAACTGAAAACTGAAAGCCTCAAGTCCATCTGTGTCAGAGCAGCGCTGTGCCCCGTGGTCTGGGTTCCTGTGTGGTGCAAGCATCTGCTGCCCCAAAGGGTGGATGTTTGAGACCGCCTCGGAGGAAAGGCCTAGCCCTGTGCCGCTGAAAAGTTAGACTTTGAAAACCCTATTCAGCAAAGAGCTGAATATGACTAGGATATGCTGTGGTTGTGCTATTACAACCGTGGAACTGGATGTGAGGAAGAACAGGAGAGAAGCAAAGTGGGGGGGCAACCTGGAAAGGGGGAGAATCCAGGGTGAAAGGAGGCAGAGAGAAGGGGAGGCCTGCGGGCTGAGGGCAAATATCTCACTTAGAAGAAGCCGGGACCGAGGAAGTCATTCCCCGTTTACTGCTCACTCGGTACAGTGATGTCTCCCAACGACTCTTTCACGTTGCCAACGTATAGAAAGGTTGAAAGAATCACTTAATGGCTACTCGAGTTGCCATTCGTAGTTTCCCTCATTTGCTTCTCTCTCTGCATAAACTCTCTGCACTACCATTTGAAAATAAGCTGGTGGCATTATTGCACTTTACTGTGAATACTTCAGCATATTTATTGTCCTTAAGAATAATCCCAAATAATAATAATGATTTATAAATTATCAAGGGTTTATGAGGGAGGGAAGGTGGGTGAGGGAGGGGAACAATGAGAAGCTGATACCAAGGGCTCAAGCAGAAAGAAAGTATTTTGAAAATGGTGATGGCAACAAATGTACAAATGTGCTCGACACAATGGATGAATGTGTGGATTGTGATCAGAGTTATATGAGCCCCCAGGTCAAGAGTTTGAAACTATCAGTGGTTCTGTGGGCGAGAGATGAGGCTTTCTACTTCTGCAAAGACTTGGAGTCTCAGAAACCCAGAGGGTGGTTCTACCCTGCCCTGTGGCGTCACTCTGAATCAGAAAGGACTCAATGGCAGGGAGTTTGGGTTTGGAAGAATAATCCTCGTCTAGCTTTTTGATCATTAACAAATTCTTTTGTGTGCTTGGATCAAAGAAAAAGAGAGAAGTCTGCCATCTTTTTCGTTTGACATTTAAAAACGTTGTTTACTGTTTGTGTTAAACTGAAGTCTGTAATACCAAGATATTTGCATTTTCTCCATTTATTTCCCCAGGGAGGAACTGACCTGATAATTAATAGCTATGGCCCTATAATTAAAAACAACTCTAAGAAAAAATGGCGTTTTTTCCAAGAGTCTAAGAAGGCAAAAGCTGAGCAGGTAACGGATCTAAATGAGGGAAAAAAGCTATGGCAAGTCCTGATATGTGCAATGATCCTCAAAAAGGGAAACTGGCATAAACAAATGCTTTGTTTCCGTGTCTGGGTTCTTCCTGAATATACTTTTATTAATGTGGGACATGGCTCTCTGGAAAGTCGTGAGTGACCACTTCAATGACAGTTAGACACAGTAATCAGAGCTCTGCTTTTCGAATAGAATTGGGGAGGGAGGGCAGCAGAGAAAGGATTGCGCAGGACCACGCGGTCAGAAACACTGAAGCAGTGGTTTGGACACTTCCCTTGTCCCGGATAATCCTGACAAGCTCCCACTCCAAACACCCGGCACGAGGATGGCCTTTTCTCCCATCTCCTCCCAACAGTTGCTCTCAGACTATGTAGCATATCCGAGACTAGTTTGACAAATGTCACTGATGGCATGTTCTGTGTTTGTGTGTAGCCTCAAAGAAGATTTCCTCAGACCGTCTGCTTGTACCAGCCAGGCACTACTGTACTGATCCGTGATGGAGACTCCCCCAGCCCCCCAGGCCAGATGGCCACTTTCCCAAGGCCCTTCGGGGTGCCAGCTGATACTGAGCATTCAGCCAACAGTGAAGGCAGCCACGAGACCGGGGATTCCGGAAGGTTTTCCCACGAGTCCAATGACGAGATACACCTGTCCTCAGTCATCAGCACTACACCCCCCACCTCTGATTCCTTCTCTGGCAGTGATTCAGGTGGGCACCCTACAGTGAGGAAGCACGAAGACCCTGCCGTGGCTTCCGTCGCTGGGCAGACTTCCCCGTCCGTTCTGCGGCCCCCGCCTGCCGTGCTGCCTTTTGATACAAATGACTTCCCCATCTAGACAGCCGTGTCTGGGTACCCGCACCTGTACATCTGTTCAAAGGACAATGAACAGGGAGCCAAAGCCTTTTCTCAACATCTTGCTGTCTGACTGGGTATCGCAGCTTTCTATGAATGTCTTTTGGTGATTTTTTTTTTAAAGCTCACGTTTTGAATGTTTCGTGGTCAGCAATGTGAATGGACAGTCGGGACCGTGACTGGGTTCTAAAATGTATCACTGGAGCAAAGGGAAGACTTGCTGAGGCCCCTTTGCTGACGATCTACCTCAGTTTGCCAGATGGCAAACCCCGAAGACAACTTTGTTACCTCATTTGTTATTCGAGTGCGTTCTCAGCTCCTCCGTAGCCAATGATACTTCGTACTAGCGTTTTGTTTTCATTGCTGTGTGTGTACTATGTAACGTGCTTGATCCAAGGAGTCATACAGGTAGAAGAGTAAGAATGGTTATCTGACTACATCTGCATAGTTCAGAGAATGTAACACCCCTGACTGAGGCGAGAAAGAGTGGGACTAATATTGCTAACAGGCCTCCCTGTTTCGGGCATGAGAGCCTAAGTGCTGTATCTGCCGCATCCCAGACACCCCCCTGCCGAGAGCCGTGCCTTTTCTGCCCTCTCCCCCCGTTGGCCAAAGGCTGCACTGTCTAGTTTGCAAAGCACCCTCAACTTTTTCAGTGTGTTGCAAAGCCCCAGGCAGAAATGGATTTTTAAAAGATAACGGTTAGCTTGGTATTTTTTGTTATGGTTGTTGTTTTTAATCCTAGCTTGGCTTAAAGGGGCGAAGAAATTTCATAAAAATTTAAGACTAACTGTAAATGCAGTAGTGGACATTAAAACGGGCTTGAGGTTATCACAGTAACAGTGCCTTCCAGTATATATTATGACATTTTTTTGCCTTATGCCTTTTGAATATTCATGAAGTTGTTTAGGACAAGAGGACCCAACAACGTTGCCTTAAGAGTTTCCTGGAATTTATCCGTAACTATTTAAGTGGACATTATCTTACCAAAGTGTGTTGTGTTTTGTTTTGTTCCCTGCTTACACGCTGTAGGTGCAGGCTTTGTGTAGGGATAAGTATTCAGAGCCCTACCTGCTCTGTTTTCTTGAGTTCTCAGGGAGTCTGGGTCTCGTCACGTGTGCTCCTTTCAGACCAACACTGTGAACGCGGAGCGCTGGCTCCAGGAGTGAGCCAGTCCTCTTGCTGGTTTGGAATCAGCAGACTGTCCTCAGCAACATAATCCACCGGTAGGTCTTCTCTCGGTCTTGAGATGGTGCCTCCTAGGTACTGGGCCACGGGAGAGGGTAAAGAATTACAGACAGGATGGGGAAAGTGTGCCCCATATTCTTTCACACACACCCCCACACACACCCCGCCAAAGTATCTAGAAATTACTATTAAGCCTCATTTTTAACAGAGATCCTATTGGGTTTTCTCTGTAGGCTTTTCTTTTACAGAGGGAGTTGTTGAATGGTACCCCGAGGAAAAGACTGCTACAGGATATGAATCCGACTTCTCGGCCTCTGTTAGCGCTCTCCCAATGACTGATAATAGAACTTTTGGGGGGTTTCTTTTAATTTTTTTTCTAATCTGTAGTTTTGTGCCAAATGGGATGTGTTCAGAAGTATATGGACATTTGAGTGCCAGAAACCACATCTGAACTAAACTCCGAGTCCTCCCCTGTAAGTTACCCACGTAGGGGTCTCCCAGCAGAACGGACAAGCAGAGCTTTAGGTGAAGAGTCTGAGGCAAGGAAAAATGGTGCTCCTGCCTGTATAGCTCCGGTTTGATACTACCTCCTTTTAAAGTTATTCTAGTGTTATTTTTTTTCCTGTACTCAGGGAACATTTTGTTACTTTTGAGCTGCCTCATGGAAGCATGGGCAAACTGACAGGGTATGGCTTTTTTGTTTGTTTGTTTGTTTGTCTGTTTGTAAGTAAGTAGAAGTATGTGGGGCCAACTTTTATCAGTAGCTAAAATTAAAGAGTACATTGAGATCATTTTAGTTTTGAAATTTATATTGACAGGCAAACGCATTAAAAGTTTTAACGTGAAACATTATCCTTCGTGGTTATGGACAGATGAGTCTAGGCCTGTGTGAATTTGCATATTTTTAAAAGCCCCAAAAGATTATCTGATGTTCTTGAGACAAAGTATTTTCCTTGTTTGGTTTTTAATGCATAGGCCCGTAGTTACTGTAGATATTTTAGACTATAACTGTTTGCTAATTATTCACTGATACATTTTTCATCTTTTCATTTTGTTCTTTAGACAGATCTTTTCATAATCTGTTACCAAAGAATTTTTACAGTAGAATGGGAAATTTTGAATATAATTTTCCTCAACGTTGACTTAACTAGAGACATCTATATGTATAAGCTATACAAGTCGTTACTAACCCAAAGCAATAGGGTTTATCTTGATTGTCATAGTTAATCAATAGGCTAGTAATTATAACTACCTTATTGTTACGAGAGCATTTAAAACACAATTATAATGCTTTCTTTACCAGCAGATTGTTCCAAAGAATTTCAAATGTATTTTTTTTTCTTCAGCAAGTAAATCTTCAACTATCCAGTATTAAAGTATTTTTAAACTGTTGAAACTATTTGTTGGAGAGGGAAAAACAAAGAATCTTTTCACCAAAGATATATATTTTGGTTGTATTAAATAAGATATTTAGATATTTAATGTACCACAAAAGACTTCTTCCTACTTGGTAAATCACACTTTTTTTGAAGTCTTAGGTATAACATGTGAAGGTGTCCATCTCTCGTGATGGTGGTACTTCATGATATTTCCCTCCTTAGGGGCTGAGATGCAAATGGTACCTACGCCCTCTTCCAAAGACTTGTTTGCTGTTAGTACTGATACATGCATTTCTCTTTTATACCAAATATTACAAGATACTGCTTATCAGTATTTTCATACCAAAGACCACTAAAAGATAGACGTTAGCCTATAAGTAATTAAAAGATGAGATTTGAAATAAATTTATTTAGTGGCTGATAGCAGATCTAGTTTTAGTAGCAAAAGCTATCAAAAGCTAAGTTTACGTAATGAAAAGCAATACAATTATATTGGTATTTATCAGTGTCTTTATTCCAGTACTTTTTATCAGCAAATTTAAAAAGAAAAAAGAAACCAAAGATATTTAAGGTTACCTTCACGTGTAGGCAAATTTAGATGTACGTTAGAACTGTTTCTTGTCTTTCATGTTCACCAAATATGCCTCTCCAGGACCCTGTCTGTATACAAATTGCATACTACACAGGGACTTTCCATGACAGCTGCTGAGTCTGCCACGGGGTGTTTTTGCCAAACGCAGAGGGGGACGCCCCAGCACCTTTGTGTGTGAGATGCTGTCAGTAGAAACAGCAGTGGACTTTTCCCTTGTCGAGCAGTGTGGCGGCAACCCCTGAACTGACCAGTCCGGTCTTCTTCCTGCTTAAAACTGACCCGGCAAACACCGAAGACTTGAGGCCCTCCAGGAGGAAGCAGTGATCAACAGCAGGCAAACAATTGATATCACTGTGTAATTGGATCCTAACAGCTGTGCTCTTTAAAGTTGCCTGTCAATTGGTATTTCTTCGTGTTAGTAAAACCCGAAGGAAGCAAGAGCCTTTCATGGAATGCTATGGTTTTGAGTAGTCTGAAAGTAAAAACCCAACTTTAGCCACCAGGTTACTTTTAAAAGCAGCACTGGCATCTCCAGGAAATCAGATCCACAATGACATGCTATCTATTCATTTGCCTTTGCTACAAATAAGAACATCCCCAACGATGGCGCTATGGAGACCGATTTGTATGGGTTTGCCTTAGCTTGTTAAGGATTCCTGTCAGAATCTTGTTCATTGAGGGCAACTCAGGAGTCAAGACCATGTGCAGACACCCTTAGAAGCAATTCAGAATGTATCACCACAAACGGAATTAAAGAGATGATTTCTTGTAAATGTATGCATCCCCTCGTATGATTCTGCTGTAGCAGTGGATGTTGTGATGTACTCATATGCATTTATATTTCGTCGATTACAAATGTTGAATATCGAATGTAAAAGGAAAAAAGGAACTAAGCTCCTGATCTTTCTGAAACGAAACATATGTTTTGTAGACTTTGTTTCTGGCAGTTTGCCTCATGGGTCTCGGGTAAAAATTGCTTCTGCTTTAATGAGAGTTAAAATCATTTGGGGAGGCTGCGAGCACAGAGGGCTCTGGAGAGCACTGTACACAACTGGTTGTCTGACTGTAATCATAACCATAGAATTCCACGTGACGTGGGTGTGCGCTCAGGATGTAAACTCAGCGGCTAATGCAACGTGTGTGTGTGCAGGCTTTCATCATCTTGGGCAGCTTCCCTTTTTCAGCCGTTGCTAGTGTTTATGGTTAAAGTCTTGCCCTTTCATTAGGTAGATTCTAGTTTCTTTTCTTATTGTTGCTGTAACAAAGCACCACAAATTTAATGACTTAACACAACACAGGTTGCTTGCTTTTTTAGTCTAACAGTTCTGTAGCCTCCGAGTCTGACACAGGCCTGGCGGGATGACATCCAGGGCCACAGGGCTGTGTTCCTCCTGGAGGCTCTGGGAGAGAACTCATGTCCTGGCTGCTTCCAGCTTCTGGAGGCAGCTTACCCTTCTTCAAGGCCAGCAAGCGTAGCATCTCACTGGTCCTGCTTCCGTCATCTCATCCCTCTCTCTGATTCCATGAGTAGAATTTTAAGAACTCCCCCGATGACATTGGACCTGCCTGGATAACCCAGAATAATCTCCCGCCCCAGGATCTTTAGTCCTGTCTGCAGCATGCCAACAGGCGAGGTAACATCGTCACAGGCTCCATGGACACCTTTGGGTGGCTCCTGACAGATACATTGTTTTTATGGACGTCTCATCCCCATCAACTCTCCATAGATCCCAGGATCTTGAGGGCTGGTGCCTAAGGTGGACACCTTTAACATTTCAAAGCCATGAAAACTTGGCTTGTTGCTAATAGAATGAACAAGTTAGA